AAATGTTGCTATTATTCATTAGAATTAATTAAGCTAGGAATACAATATATCAAAAAAACATGTAAATATTAATATAAATGCCAAAAAAGAAAAACAAAAATAATAAGACAGGTTTAAGTGTTTCTTTAACAGATGAAGATAGCGGAGAAATTGTTAAAGACACATCAGTAATTGAGTTTTCTTGTCCAATGTGTAAAAAGATGTTAGAAATGAAAAATGAATTAGAAATACAAAAGAAAGGAAATTGTAAATGTTTGTGTATTCCAACAAGTTTCAAATTGAGTAAAAACGACAAAAGGATGAATATTGATAAAACTAAAGACAGTATCAACTTAGAAACAGATGTTCATAATATAACTTTTAAATGGGGTAAGGATGCATCACTCTCGGAAAATGGTGATAACGAAACGCAGGAAACTAGTAAACAAATGATGAAAAATTAGTATTTAAAGAGTAGAATTAACATAATTTAAACATTTAGTTTTAACAATATAGTTGAATAATATAGTATATGGTTGAATTTTCAAGTTTAACACATTTACATTTTGGAGCACTTGAATTAGATAAACAAATTGGAGACAATAACTATAATGGTGTTAGTTATTATACTTGTAAGTGTGGATGTAAAATAGTCTTAACTCGTACTCAAACTAGAAAATATAACCTTTTATTACTTAGTGTTGGTCTTAGCTATGAATATTTATATCTAGGCAAAGCGTTAGTATGTGGACATACTCAAAAAGATTTAGATAACATTGTTAGACTTATGGTAGAAGGTGAAGAACTTAAACATTTAAGTAACAGAGACCTTCGAAATTAAAATATTTAGTTTTAAAACTTTAGTTTTATAATATAGTATATATGGAAGGTGTGGATAAACTAATTTTGAAAATTGATGAAATAATGGAACAAAATAAACGCATTTATCAACTGTTAGAAAGTATGAAGAAACCAGCTTACAATAATACTAATAATTACCAACCAAAAGAAGTTGATAGAGAGAGCACTGAATACAAGAATAAACGAAATGTATATATTAAAAAACTTAATGAAAAAGTTATTAAAGAACCTAAACAATCAAGTCTGGATTTCTACCAAGTCAAGTATATTGAAGATACCAAGAAATATGTTTAATCATTAACTAACAAAATTTCGTGTCTCAGAAGTGGTTTGTTTATTCCTGCTACTCTGTAAGTTTTATTACCCATAATATCATATTCAATTTTATCAACATTGAATATTTTATTAGACCATTTAGAATTATACTCTTTTCTGTCGGTGTAATTGCCCCTTTTCTTTTGACACACTTTTATCTTATCGTTCTCCTGTATTCTGGGATACTTTCTTTTGTTCTTTTCTCGTAGTTTCAGATTGACCTTTACATTTATTTCATTGTCGTCCTTGTGTGCTTCGGTTGGTGTCATCCTTGTTGATGAGTGTAATGTGCTGTTATACTGTTTCAATGCTGGTGTTAAAGCATCGGTCCATTTCATATTATTAAACCTAGCTCTATCATGAATTTTGTTTTTCATTGTCCAAATAAAACGTTCGGCTACATTTGCGTGTGTCTTCGTTATTATGTGTTTGATACCTTCGCTGTTGAAGAAATCCTGAACTTGGTTTTTGGTTGCAAACGCTCCATCATCATCAGAATACACAGACATCGGGTAACCCATCTTTTTAAAACTTGCTCTAAGCGCCTTCAAAACGTGCTCTCCGTCTCTTTCCTCCATCGGAATTGCATCTGCTAATTTACTGAAGATATCAATCACGACTAAAGCATACTGTGGAACATTCTTGTCTTTTGCTAAAGGTGACATATGCATTATGTCTATTTGATATTCATATCGTGCGAATGGAGCGGTATAGGAATTAGTACCTCTATAATTTTTGATTTGTTTATTTGGTTGTTTCTTTAAGAAAGACTTTACATCGTCTAATGTTATTGTTGGGTCTTCTTCCTTTGCCTTCTTGTGTGTCGCTTGTGTGCTTCCGAAACCCTCGTCTAAGTCGTAATAGATGTTGCTGATTTATTTGGTCTTTTGTTAATCTCGCCATTATATTAAATTGTTAGAGAATATTTTTTTCAATGTAAACCCCCACCCCTTAACATAAAATAAAAACTACTTAAAGAAAATTGGATATAATATAGTAAGGGAAAAAATGACACTGTTTAATTATGATAATTGTCCTTGTAAAAATAAAAAATGTAAGTCTGTCGTAGCACTAGCTAATATTTTACTTGTTAATGTTTGTAATCTTATAGGTGGCTATATTAGAGTAACATGTTTTGATTGCTGGTATTTGATGGATGAAGAAGAACATTTTATGAGAGATAAAGACATTCCTGCAAAAGGACTGGAAACAGCAGAACTTCAATTACAAGTTATTAAACTAATGCAAAATAATGTTATTACACTACTAGCAGAAAACCAATATAGTATAAAAATAAGACATTACAGAGAACAAATTGACCGAGTATTTGATATACAAGAAGTTAAAGAACGGTTCAAAAATAGAAAAATGTATCATCAAACATTAAAATCATACTGTAAGAATAATGAAAATGAAGTTTGTATCATTTTAAGAAAATGTCTTGACATTGAAGATTTTAAAAAAAGTAAACGTTGTGGGTTTAGCTTTCCAAACCTAAACAGTTGGTGGTCATATAGAAATAACAATTATTATATGAGATATATTCTTAGCGAATTAATTGACATTTACACAGACCAATTAATAAAAGGATACGGGCATTATTGTTGCGAGTATACTATGAGTTGTTGTATTGGTTGTATCGCTGGTGAGATTGAATACGGGTCAAATTAACTTTTGTTTATTAATATTATCATCTTATAATATGATTAAACATTGTTTTTATAATCGAACAAGAAGGTTAAGACAATTAAATTAAACCTGAAACCCAGACTGGCCAACCAGCAACCCCTAGCCAAAACTACTTAAAGAGAAAAAGCCTTATATATTAAGAGAAAAATGAGTAAAATGAGTAAGGGTAAAATGTCAGAGAATAATTTTATGTTTGAGAATTGTGCTAGCTTACCTGCTGATGTATTAAAAGGTATCATTTCATATAAATTAGGGGGACCTGAGTATTTGAAAATAAAACATAATCATATTAAGACATTAAAGAGAATACAACAACGATATAAAATAAACAGAACAGAAACAAAAAGAAAGACAAAGCGCTATACTGTTGAAGATGGCGATGATATAAAGAGACACGTAATTGAGTATTACATTTCAAGAAATATACCTTTAAGCATTAAAAGCATCGAAGATATAGTTTTTAATGAAAATGAAAACTTAGATTGTTTGTTAGATGACATTGAAACCGTTAACGGTTATGAAGCAGTGATAATAGTTGAGGTAAATATGTTTGTAAAGTTTCATCATTTCAATTATTATGAAGACAACCATTTTAACACTTTTAGTTTTCATTTTCATAGTGATGATGTTGTAGATAATGTAACCATTGATAATTTATCTGAAGTAATGATAGCGGCGTATCAAGAAATAAACAGTTGTATTGATGAAGAAAGAAGTAGAATGGAGTTTGGAGGAGTACAAAACATAAGGTTTAAACTAATTGTTGATGAACCTGTGCAATTCATAACTAAACCATAATTATATCATTTATATTCTTATATGTTATAATTATAGCGAACTTTTAACCTATAAACATTTCATTAAATGACAAACCAGAAGACCCACCCAAAAGCCAACCCGTGAAAGCACAGAAAGTCCTATCCTCTTTCAATCAATAAATCTAAAAGTTGAAATCTGGAACGAAACAGGGGACCAAATCATCAATTCGTTACCACATCCATATCGTTATTTCTTGGCCCCAGAACCAGCCTTTTAAAAACGGAGAAGGTGGTACACGTGTTGAATTGTGAAATAAAAAACAGAACAGGCAACCATCTACCCCCCACCCCCTAGGACCAGCCTTTTCTACATTTTTTAGGGGAGCGGTGGGGTGCATGCCCGTGTGCATGGGGCCAACTAGGAGCTGGCAATTAGGACTTTGAATTGTCACAGAAAGGTCAATATGAGTGCCTGTTGGGCGTGGGAGTTTGGGGAAGAATCATATTGTCCTAACATGAATCATTTACGATTTTAGGGCTTTTCAGGCTGCGCGCTCAGGTGCTCACGTACAGTCCTGGACCTTTGCAGTAGATTTGAGGGCTTTTCGCTAGTGTCCTGCTCGGGGCGTTCTACATTGCACTCGTTTAGAGGCACATTGCTAGAGGCCTTTCCGTACAATGTTTTGCCCAACCGAAACCATTACGCTACTTTTATTTGATTGTGGTGCGCTTCATTTGCACATGGTTTTTCAGCAGGGTGCAATTTGCACCCGAATCTCCCAAAAAGCGCTCGAGAGCCAAAGGTGAGCAAACCATATTTGCACTTTTCAACATGTGTGTCGAACATACATGTTGCCACGGAAACATACATGAGCTGCGAGTTCATTGCCTCTCGCTTCATTGGATCAATTGTGTAAGGGACTTGCCCTAGAACTGCAAAGATATCGGAGAATTGAATTTTACCGAAAGAAAGGGGTAAAAGGAATCAAGACATACAGACTCTCCCGCCATGATGGGAAGCTCTGTGCACAGGCTTTGCGTTGAGCTACCAAGACACTTCCATTCTTTTGTTTGCACAAAAGTGCTAGGCATGCGCAAAGTGATGGACATGCTGTGGCATTTCGCAAGGGAACATGCGGGTAGGCTTAGGGGGTTTATGGGTTTTGGGCGGTGGATTGTTCAAAGCACCGCAACCACTCAGCGGCGAGCTTTGGTGTGTGCCGAAGCAAGCATCGTGGCCGTTTAAGTGCTACCCTGGCCATGTGGGCCTGTATATGCAACAGCAAAAACGTCAATGCATGTATATTCAGCAAAGAAATCCAACAATGAAAGCACATATACGCGCGCACATTTATTCAGCAAGTCAAGGGTGGTTCGGACCGCCCGGGCGCCCGAGAGGAGTCGCGGCAGCGTTTGTTGCGGCTGGTGGAGGAGGGCAGCTCCGGGCGCGTTTCTGGCGAGGACGCGGAGCGGAAACTGGTGCCGCTCGATGAGCAGAGTGTCTAAGGATCGTGGTCATGCACAGGGTGTGCTTGTAGCTTTGTAATGTGGACCCGGCAAACAGCTCAAAAGACACATTTTGATAGGGGATCCTTCACTTTTGGGGGGATTCACGAATGAATCCGCAAAACTTGGCGCATTACATGGCGACACACACAACATTCCTCGAGATTCAGCTGCAACCCTTTGAGCGTGGCCCTTCTGGTGGTGAGGCAGGACGCCGGACAGGCAAAGTGGGACGGCTGGAAAAGGCCAGTGAGAGGCCCGAGGCATTTGGGTACTTTCCTAGGTCCAATAGGCTATGGGCACGCAGGTTGCTCCGTGCTTTCAGCAACTTTGCGCAATCCCTTCTGCTTCTGGGACCCTCGAACAGTTTTTGTTTCAACTCATTTGACTCAATGCCGCATTTGTCAATGGGGCCTCTTGCCATCCATTGGACAGCTTGCGAAGGTGGCCAGAAGCCTGATAACAGGTAGTTCATGCTCTAGTGTCCAAGGGGTCCCAAATATGACCCGGGCCTATCCAAGTGAAACAAACAAACTGGGACACCCACGCCCGACACCAACTAGTTTTGATTCATCCAGTAGCCAGCGATTGGTCAACAGGGGTCAATATGATGGCACAACAAGCGAAGGGTAGAAGCAGTCGTTTGCCGTGTTGTGCTTGGTCAGGTGAGTTGAACAACCAGAGGTACAGTACAACACCCAAGGTTAAAGACCCAGAATCTCCAATTGGCCTATGATTGCGGAGCTGTTCACAAGCCTGGTCCCATTGTGTTTGCCTGATCTCCCCTTTTGGCCTGGCTTCCCCTCTCACACCTGTCACCTGAAAGGAATGACCACAAAGTCGGGGCATTCTCACGCCCCCGCAAGGGGTCCTCCCATTGCGAGGCACACCCACACAGCCCCCCTTCAACCCCTTCAGTGGCCGTCCTGAAACCATCTTATGGCGTTAGGGAGATTTCGCTGAGGGACGCCTTCCTCCTAGAGATTGGCGCCAGTTCGAAAGTCGCCGAAGCGGCGACCTTTCGGGGTGTGTGTGACGCCCTGGAGGCAGGGCCAGGCCTTTTGTGGGTTGGAAGGGGATGGTTCGCACGGTGATAGCCTCGCCTGAAGTTTGAGGCGGAGCTGGTGCTACCGCTGCGTGCGCTCAACGAGGCAGAGCTGGCCAGGACGATGCAAGGGCAGCCGCTGCCCAAGGAGGCCCCGAGCCCAGTGTAGTGGTTCCTTGTTTTTGCCCCCCCGCAGTTTGAATTTGTAGGAGTGGGTGGGATGTGGGGTGGTTTCGCTCTTGCACCATTTAGAGGGTCATTTTTGAGGATGCCATTGTAGCGGGCACAAAAGGGGGAGTTTTTGGATGAAGGCCATGATCCAACATGGAAAGGAACCCACCAATTCTCCGCACATTCATAGCCAAGCATGGGATGGGGAGAATGGGGGGGGGGTCAACGCAGGAGTTTTTTTGTTTCTTGCTTCTTTTTCTTCTTGTTTTTTTGACATCACCTGTTTGGGATGTGGAGATGTAGTTTGAACAGATTCCACACACGATAGCGGTATACTTTTCTTGCGAATTGGCTTTTGCTGGGCCTGGAATGCAATCTGCCGTTTTTCTCAGCCATTTGATTGGAATGTTTGTGTGGGGTCCAGTTCAATGCTCGTTTCAAAGCCTTGGTTTGCTTTCTTCCCTCACGGAAAAAGGGCATGCACAAGTGCTTCGCCTCTTCGACTGCCCAGAAATTTCGCCGCTTGATAGGCTATGCGCGGGAAGATTCAGGAGCTCACGCGCGCGGCGCTGGGGGGCCCCGGGGCCTTCCGGCGATGGCGCTACGGCAGCGCCGCGGGCGCCGAGCAGCTCCGGGGCCTCTCGGAGGACGGAGCGGAGGAACGGAGGAACGGAGCGGCGCTTTCCGGGAAGCGTGTTTTCCTGAAGGACATGGTTGCAGGGACCAGCCCCTAAGCACGGCGGCCTCAACGTCCGCAGTTGGAAGAGCATGAGGCTTCAACCTCGGAACCTATATCAAGGCAAAGTCCTAGACAGTCAACTCATAGCAGGCAGGTGGATTTCATCACCGTTTGGTTGAGCATGATGCTTTTCGGCAATGCTTGGGTTGGGACCATCCCCCATGAACCCTTGCTAGCAGGGTTTTCAATCGGTCTCACATTTGGAAGCTTCTGCAGAACAAGTGCTTGCAGTTCCAGCTTTTTGCCAACCGGGGAACACTGGACGACCAGCCCAGGTCTGACACAGGTTGCTCGATTGGGCAAATTTGCCCATCGCCTTGGTGGCAAGCATTTGTAGCGGGAAGGCAGCACACCCTTTGCATCATTTGTATCGCTAGAATCTACACGGCTGTTTGATTAGGCTTTGTTGCTCCATTTGCCATATCTTGGGTAAGGCCCCAATATTCCAGTCCCGACCGATGTGAGGAGCAGGTGAAGAGCTGGCAGAAGCCCACGTGCCTGGAGCACACCCGGTCTACCGGCCGCTTCTTCACCCATGAGGCCGGAGATGCGGCGGGCCAGGGGCCGGTCCATTTCAGAGTGTTTCAGACACCGGTTTTCCACTGGGTGGGTAGGGGTTCGCGTCGCTTGACAAAATACTCCTGTTTGAAGCGTGTCCCCCTCCCCCCCAGTGACCCATGATGTTTATGTTGTTTGAGTTGTTTATTTGGTAGTTTAAGGTTTCTGCATCACTCTTTGGTTGCCATTCTAAACTATAAAACTAGGCTTCCTTCAGGCCGGGTAGTGTTCAAAAAGGACATATCACTTGCGCTGTGGCAGCGGAGGATTGTTGCTGCTTCGCTTGTTGGTAGTGGGGGGGCGATGGTTGGTGTTTGGTGGTTTCATGCTCTCAGAGCTTCAAAGAGAGCCGGCCCCCAGCCCAAGCAACCCAACAAAAGCTGTCGCTTGGTTGCTTCTCCCACCTTTGCCTCTTGTCGCAGGATCGCAGCGAGTTGGGCTTCTTTTGGGCCACAAAGATTGGAGGCCCCTCCCACGGCTTCGATTTCGAGACCCAGTGCATTTTGCCGCTTCTGGCCAACGCCAGGCACAAGGCCAGCCTGGCTGAAAGGCATTGTGGGCAGATTGTGATTCGGGAATCGCTCGTAAGGCATGACTGGCAGTCTGTGAGTCTCTTTTATTGCCCTTCAGACTTCCATCCCTTTTTTTTATTCTTCTCAACTTTTGGAGGTGATCCTCCTGAGCGACCCCGCCTTCCAGCATCACCCGGTGGGCCGCGCCCACTGGCGCCTGCTGTGGTCTGTGGGCCCATACCCTGACGGGGCGCCTGGTGCTGCCGGCTCCCCAGAGCCACGGCTCTGGCTAGAGGCGGCGCCTAAGCCCAAAAGCGGGACAAAGGGGTCGAAGGGGTCGAAGGGGCCGAAGGGGCGGCTGAAGGGGCCGAAGGGGCGGCCGAAGGGGCGGCCAAAGGGGCCGAAAAGGCCAAGGTTGAAGGGGCCCTTAAGGGGCTGAAGGGGCCGAAAGCGAAGGGGGGGCCGAGGCCGGTTGAAGGGGCCGGCCGAAGGGGCCCCTTCAGCCGCCGGCCGAAGGGCCGGCCGAAGGGCCGGCCGAAGGGGCCGGCCGAAGCCGGCCGAAGGGAGGGGCGGGCGCGGGCCGAAGGTGGGCCGAAGAAGGGGGCCGAACGGGGGCGGGTCGAAGGGGCCGGGGGCCGAAGCGGGGCTGAAGGGGCCGAATGGGGGGGGCTGAAGAGGCCGAAGGGGGGGGCCGAAGGGGCCGCCTTTTACAAGCGGTGCTAGGTCAAGCGTCAGGAGTTCAGGGCGCAATCGCAGGAGCACCTAAGTTCGCTGAACTCGAAGCATCGCCAACAGGTAGAGACCTTGCAGACGGAGCTGGGCCAAGCCCTGGCGAGATTAGCCCACCTGTCATGTATTTAGAAGATCTGCAGCGCACAAGCAACGTGTTTCGATTTTGTTCGAATTTCATCAATTGGAACTATGTGCCAGAATGCCATGGAACTTGCAGAGAAGAAGAAGGGTTCAATCCAGGCGCGAGGTGTAAACCACGTGATGCGAGCTTGTCCGTTGATTTCTGCTCACTTCATTGCGCAGGCGGAGGCATCCACGGCAAGCCACAACGAGGCTTGTTTTTTTTTGCAATGGTTTAATTTGCAGCAGCATGTCGCCGGGCCAAGAAATGCATCGTCCCCCAGCTCCCGGACCCGAAGAAGCGCAGACGCGGCTGAGGACATTGTCGACGCATGCGTGCTGGCAAGTTGTCACGATTGTCAAAGGGTTCAAGCAATGTGTTCACATAGACACACTTGCTACGGGTGTCAAGAGCTGATTCTTTTCAGTGAGAGACGCGGGCCGCGACGCATGCCAGATCGCAAGAGTGTGTCAAAAGAATGCACTCTGACAAAGGACTACCATCGACCCGAGCCGAAGGGGGGGCGAAGGGGCCGAAAAAACCGAATAGTTGGAAGGGGGAGGTGGCTGAAGGGGCCGAAGGGCAAGGGGCCGAACAAATGAGGCCGGGTGCTGAAGGGGGCTCCCGAAGCGGAAGGCGGGGGGGGGGGGGGGGCCGAAGGGGGGGGAAAATTGTAATTTGCCTGAAAGGCTGACTGTAGACCTTAAGGCTGGTGGCCCGAAAATTTGCGAGATAGCCAACCCTGTTGCGGCCAGGCGCATTTCCAGCCGTGACCGGCAAGATGTCAAGGAACCCTTTGCGCAACATGGCTGCCCGAGGTCAACGCAGATTTCGAGGCGTCGGTGCAAACCGACGGCTGGGAGGTGGCATTTCTCATCCACGCCATGTCCAAAGCTGACGCGATGAATGTGCCCCTCTCTGTGGATCCAGGCCTGGCGGACCTGCTGCAAAGGATCATCGAGTCCCGGCCGTTAGTCGCACGCCTTGTTTTTTGTTGAACCATCGTTTTCCAGGGCAGGAGAGTGGTTGTCTCTGGTTTGGCAGTGGTCATTGTCAGTGAGGGCGGCGAAAAAGAACGGGTGCTAAAAGGTCTGGCAAGATTGTTGGGAGATGCTCGTTTTTTCAGTTGTGGAAGCTTTTGCTATTGTCCCTGCTGAAGTAAGTTTAGGGCAAATGCGGACAAAAGCGCATCCGCAATGGCAGTGGGAATCCTTGAGTAATTGGATGAGCTGTCAACATTATTGTTTAGACGCCTCTGTGGGTGTGTCTCTAGTTGTGAAGCCCTCAAAATGGGTCTTTTCCATTCTGCTCCCCTTTAAGCACCCCTCAAAAAGCTACCCTCAACATGAGATGCCTCCCCTTTAAGTACCCTCTCCAAATGTACCCTCAACAAAGACCAAGGGCACCCTCAACAAAGACACCCCCAAAACAGGCACCCCCAAGAAAGGTACCCTCAAAAACGCTCCCCAAAACAACTGCCAAAACAACCCCTCCAAGGAGAATTGATGTCTCAGCTTTTGTTTGACAGATTGACAAAGACATCCTAACAACGAACAGCTCCCCCCGAAAACTGAAAACAGACGGACAGATATGCACGTCTTGCTTCTTGCGGTGGAATCCTTCTGAGGACCACCACGCGTGCTCCCACGACGTGGTTGAGGTCTCGGAGCGGATCCTGCTGCGGCCCAGCCACGCCATCGTGGAAGCCTCGGATTACCTAAGCTACGAGCACGACTGGGTGCAGGAGGCGCGGAAGGGTCCAGACACGCTAGATGTTTCAACGTGGTTTATTTGAACCTTTCTCAGTTTTGATTTTTTAGGGCTTGGGCGGTACCCGCGCCCGCAATCGGTTGGGCTGTTCAAATGTCCTTACTGCAACCTTACTTTCGGTGGTTCCCAGCATTGAGCATGGGTTGGCCAACTCTCCATTCTGTACCGCCTTGGTACTTTAAACAGGGTGAAAGGAAGCTGCGCCCAATTGGGGCAAGGTAATTGGGTGCGTAGCTTTTGGTTATGGCGCCCAAGGTTCCCTCCAACCCCCACCCCTCTAAACAAGTACCACAGCACCCCACGCTCGCCCCACCGGCCGCCAGGGCGGAGATTTTGTGAGGTTGTGAGACTAAGGGGGGCTGAAAATGCGACAGGGGCAATACTTCTGCCCCCTCAAAACTGCCTTCCTACACAGCCTTGCCTGCCGTAGATGTTCTCCTGGGTTACAGACCTTTTTGGAGGACCAGGACATCCACCCTGCCACTTAGAGTCGCTCCTACTACTTGGTTGGGAGGTTTTAGGTACCAACTTTAGGCTGGGGGGGGGGTTTCGGATTTCGGGGGGGAGGGGGGGGACCACCACCACTGCCTCTTTAGGTTCGGGGGGGGGTTCGGGTTTCGCGCGGCGACACTACCTCTTACTGTCTGGCTGGGGAGGGGTTTGGGTTTAGGGGGGGGGGCGAGGCCCACTGCCCCAGGTGCCTATCCCCGGAGGGAACTGGAACCCTGTGGTAGTTGAGGTCGTTGTTGGTCCCTGGATCTATTCCGGAGAGAGTCCAATATGCCAGTAATGGATGATTGGAGGATGGATTGTCCCTGGTGGATTGTCTTGTGGATAATCCTGTAAGCGGCCTGCAATGGCTCTTTTGTCCTCACGCTCGGATGGTCGTGATTATGCAAAAGGGGCCTTGAGCCAAATGTTGCGGGAGATCAATGGTCTGAAAAACAGAACACAAAACAGACACAAATTTCTTTTGATCTCCAGCACAAAGTATGAAATACTATTGGCTTCATGGCCTTTGACCGTAGCCTTAATGTGTGCCGTAGCCATGTGATTAAAAGTGCCGGATTCATCCTTTTTCTGCTTGGATGAAAATGTCTTGGCCTTCGAAATGGGAAACACTATGTACGCTTCTTTTTGGATACCTAATTGTATCAAAGGGTGATGTACAACGCTATGTACACGCGGAACAGTTGTGAAACTATTGATCTCTCACTCATGGTATAGTCTTGTAGACGAGGAGGATCAATCATCTGGATTGCTCGTGGTGCTGTACGTATCTTCATGGTCAGTCGGATCGACGATACCATCGGCGGCTGCTGTCGGCTTGACTGCCATGGTCTCCATAATCATTCCAGGTCGAAGTGCTATAGTCCTTCCACTGCTTCTGATATCCCCACTGCTTGTTGTAGTTCTTGTACTCCTGCATGGTCCAGGATGATTGTCTCTTCTTGACGTAATCCTGGTATCTCTCAGAGTTGCGTTTACTGGTTGCAGACTTGCTGCGGATGTAAACCATCAGAGGACTGTGGGAGTCGGAGTCCTGCGAGCCGTTCATGAACATTTCATTGTTCCAGTTGTTTATCATCCATACCGTTCATCTCGATCTTCCGGAAATCCTGCTGGATGTTCGTTTTGCCCCATCCAAATACGATAGTCATCATTACATTTGGGAATGTTCGATCAAAACCTGATCCGCATTTCATGTGCAGGTGATGACGGACAATGGATGTCAGGGTGCACGAAGTCTCCACTGTATACTCCATTCTGTCCACGAGTGGCAAATTCTTTGTCGCATTCCACAGTCTCTGATATGCTCTCATGAGGATGTTCACGAGACCGTTGGTTGGATTGTAGACATGCTGGAGTTTGGTGTAGGTGTTCGCCGATTTGTTGGCGTGTCCGGTGATCGCATCGCATCGGTACAAGGTCACGAGCGGCATGATTTCATTCTGAAGAGACTCCAATGGTTGCAAATGGTAGATCTGCCCTCGTTATGTGGCGGTCGTCATACTCGTAGTATGACTTGTCGGATGATTTCGGGATCATGCCACAAAACTCATCACTCTGCTCGATGTGGAGAACGACGATCTCCTTGTCTCGGCCATGTCCTTGGACAATGGTGCGTGCTGGCAATCTCGATCCAATGTACTTCTTGGATTCGGAAAACATGGATGTTCCTGTGGTTGGCAAGCAATCCGAGGTCGGAATTTCGTATTCGGGATCAGTGCCATCTCCTTTGCTTCCGAAGAAACATCTGAACATTCCGAATGTGGTTCCCAATTCTGGCTCCTGGTGGAAATGTGCCTTGCCAGAAGTTCCACTCGTGCAGAGGGTCCGCCGCGGACAAAGCATGCGATCGGTCTGGATGACCATTCCTTGATCACGATGCCCTTGTAACCGTATCGGATGAACGTCTTGATGAGCTCCCTGGATTTCTCATCATTCGGACTGAAGAATGCGTCTGCCTCATTCAGGCATAAGATGTGTGCACTGTTCTGCATCATCATCTTGACGATCGGTCGATCCTTCATCGGCATGTTGTACACCTCCCTGTTGTCCAACTTTGGGTTCCTTGTGAGGTTTCCATGGTTCAGGGTAAGCATGTTGATCGCTATGGATGAGGTGAACTCATGCATGTTGAGATAGTCCACGGAAGGACGGTCAGTCGGCTGCATCAGCGATCCCAGGATATCGGCGTAGGCTCGGATGATTTTCGGGTCATCTTGTGACCTGAGCTTCTTCAGTCCAAGCGGCAGCTTGATCGGATATCCGGATCCTGGTTGAGCTTGCTTGTACTCGTCAATGGTGGGACATTCTCCTCAATGAGGGAAGTAGAATTCTTCTTCACCAAGATTGACATCAGGATCGACATGTGCCAATGAGGCTCTCTCGCACTCTGTCAAATTCGGATGAGCTCCTTTCGGATCTTTGTTGAACTGGTTCATGAAGCGTTTGAGTTCTTCTTTGATCCCCGCGAGCTCTTCCTCTGCGTCCTTTTTGTTCATATCTATTTCGAGATAGATTTTCTTGAGTTCTTGGATGAACTCTTCTAGGTTCTCTGAATTGTGATATTCCACGATGACCTTCGGCTTGACGGATCTTTCCCCGGAGGGTTCCATCATTGCTCCTTCGGTGGAGTCCTGATCGGTGGAATGCCGTCTCTTCTTGGTCTCTGAGGAAGTATCTTTTTCCTTGTTGTGCTTGGTGGAATTCACATACGTGAAGAAGGCATCGGCGAATTCGCGGATCTTGGTGTCGTACATCTCGTAATCTTCATGATCGAGATGCTTCTTCATGATCCACTTGTTGCTCGCCATGAGGCTGCCATCAGGTTCAAATGCTGCAACAATGTTTCTTGCCTCGATGGTTTTGTCTGTCAACGCTGTTCTCTCTTCAGAGAGGCGGATGCCATAGTCTTGCTCCTTGAGAAATGCAAGGATCAGCAGCGCATCTCTTCCTGCTGGCACATGGGTCAATGCGGTTTCTGACTCATCGTCTTCGAGGATGACGTCATCGATGCATGCCATGTGGACGTGCATTCTCCCCGAAGGGTTTGACTGGGATTTCCCAGATGTGAGCCCGTGCTCCATGATGCTGTAGAGCTGACTTCCATAGGTTGCATGGAACATGAATGTGATGGGCTTCTTCGAGAACGGCTTGATCTTTCTCTCTTCTTCAACGGATGGTGGTGCCGGCCTTCGCATTCTGTACTTGGGCTGAGCCGTGCTTTCATCTCCATGAGGCGCCTCGGATCTTGACGGATGCGGACTTGGCGGAATGGATTCCGTTGGCAAATCATAGTCCGGTTCGTCGTAATGAGGCTCTTTCTGCTCAGAGACAAGGGGTCGTCCAAAGGATTGGATATCGACTTGTCGTGTGTGTCCGCTGTTGCATCTCACATAGAACTCCATCTCTGGATCAACATAGAAGTCCTTGCCGTCGGGCCTGAGTGCATCTTGTGCGGATCTGGTGTTGAGCTTGTCGATCCATCGATTCCTTGGAACAATTTCTCCCCGTGCCTTGCGCTCTTTATATGTCCCGTCCAGATGGAAATACGAACGCAATTTCGAAAAACGTGATTTCCATAGCTCGGGAACATAGCCATCAAAAGAAGTCCTGGCTTATTTCCAATCAAGTTCCTGGCATGTGTGACGCAGGTCAATGCATCATAGAGCTCGACGGATCCATCAGGACCCATTTCCACCTGCCGTTTGCATTCCTTATGGATTCCATGCCTTGGATCATGTCGAAGACATCCGGAAAACGATCTGCTCATTCTCTCAATTCGCCAGAGGATGAGATCTGTGATCTGTTTCGCCTTGGATGGATCCATGCGGAAGTATTTGCAAACCTGTTCGACATTCTGGACGGTCTTATCGAGATCAATGTTGCCGTTGTGGCATACCATCGGGATGATGTCGGTTCCGTAAACTTCGGATTGAGCATTGCTGTAGCAGCAGATGCTGTAGACCTTCTTGATGAAGTCCATGTATTGCTTCTCTGCATGAGGTCCTTCACCTTGGAGTGTCGGATGCCAGTAATCGTTGAATCTTGCCTTCAACCAGAATACCTTAACTCCATGCGGTCTCTCGTGCTCAGGAACGAAGTGGAAATCCGGATTGACATCGTGGATGGTTGAGCATTCCTTGTAGTACTCGTGCACAAAAGTCAGGAATTTTGAGTTTCCGAATGGTCCTGGGTGCACGGATTCCTTCTGGAGGCTGATGTTCGTATCCGATCCATATGTTACAAACCACCGATCGTTGGATGTGAGAACAGGCCGCATCACTGGTCGCCTTGGAAGTGCAGGTCGATCACCAGGATGATTGTCGGATTCCGTCTCGTCATCCAGGGTGTTCTTTGGTGCTGGCTTGACCTTGGAGACAAGCCTCAATGTCGGTGGCGGTGACTTTGGAACAAGTTTCGGATGTGGCATCGCCTTTGACAGAGGCCTTCCTTCGAGAGGATGCCCTT